AATTTGCATGATAGGCATGAGAGACGTACGTTCTATTTTTCAGACTTTAAGGAATTACGCCTGACAAGGCACGTTGACAAAGGTAACGGTACGTTCGCATACTTGGCCCAGTCCCTTGAAGAAGACGGCGATATTTTTCAACTGTCAATTTTTGATACAAAGGGCGGTGACCCGTTCGGTGGCGTACAGATAGCAACACTGGCCATCAAAGACAGGCAAGAAATCGTTGGGATTGAATGCGAAGAAGACAAATATTTTGTCCGAAAGTAAAACAATATAGTGTTTCAAAGATTTAAAAACATTTGAATAGTTAGCGTATAAGCTGTCAAATCATTTACAATTGTTCTTGGGAGCAAGGTTAAAATACTTAATTGGTAATTATAATTTTAAAACTTTTAGTATCGGTACAGATATTGTAAAACTTATTTGTCAAATTCACCTTAGTAAGCTGATCTTAACCACAGGGATCCCAATGAATGGATRAAATGAAAGTAAAGGACGTAAAGGGCCAAAAAGAATTTTTTTTTTTCGTTTCAATTATTCTTAGAACTCTGCTATAGTCTTTTTCATTACAATTGGGAACCCTGTATTGTAGCAGGACGAGAGGACTTGAACATAGCCCCACGCCGATTCCCTTCGAATCAATGCATATATTATTGTAAAGCGGACAGTGTGGAACTTTGTGTTCAAAATAAAAAAAACTGAAAGAAAAGACGTGTTAGTTTGTCAAAGCTCCGTGCATTTCACGTGGTAGGGTCAGTGGGGACCCTTTTGTGACAAATAGGACTTGTTTCAAGTTTGCCAGCGACTATATAGCCATTGAATAGCCGACTTGCGAATTACGCATCAATAGTCACATACAAAGGAATCAAGACGAGGCGCCGTGCTTTTTTGTGAAAAATCTATTGTCTTTAGCACGGCGCCTCGTCTTGATTCCTTTGTATGTGACTATTGATGCGTAATTCGCAAGTCGGCTATACAATAGATCGAGTGGACGCATTTCATCCTCGAAATTGTACAAAACCAAAATTGCACACTTTACGGAATTTCGCAGAATAGCAAGATCGAGGTTAATTAAATTTCACGGATTTAGTGCGTTCACTCTAAATTAGTATCCGGTGACTATGAATCATAAATCCGGCATTCTGAATGGCTGCTGAACTATAGACGATATGGACTATCAACTTTTATAATTCAACAAATAAAATGTTTCTCCGCGTAGACCACGTGACACAAGGGGTATTGTGATACCGATCCCGTCGCTAAAAAAACTTTTGTTGTTATTGTTGCAGCTGTTTATTATCGCGAATACTCATGTAAATCGTCCGCCATTTTCCGATTCGTTATGTGTCTTGTCAATCATGATAGACAACGTAACCGCGCCCCCTTTTACAGAAACTAAGAGTGTGTTTATGTGATATAAGAATCAATTCCTTAATCATATCTGTTATATCCGTGCATAATTATGAATGAGGATACAACATTCACAGATATGTTAAGAATTCAATAAGAATTGATATAGCGCTAGCGTTTTTCCTGTTTCTCAAAGCGCTGTCGACACTAATTAACAATGTTCTCTTTATTGAAAGCATTACTACACTCACTATTTTTTAAATCAATTCAAATTAAAGTTGATKTACAGAAATATGCAGAAATTATGATCATTTTGACTTATCCAAGTGTATATAATAAAATATATCAGGGGATATCATAACCAATGTTTTTTTGAAGTTGCCTAGCACTATAAATTTTTTCAAAAAAAAAAATATTGCCCGATAATATCCCATGATTTGTTATATATATTTTATATATACTTGAAATATGAGCAAAGAAGCTCATAATTTCTGCATATTGCTGTATGATGGGCAAAAGGTACGTGAACATATCGGAGTGGCCGATGCATACGCAACCTTTCGCTTTCGCCTCCACGTGGGAATAGGGCAGGACGGGAACCGACTGGGAAGTAAGGAAATGCGACAAAAATGAATTCTCGTAGAGAATATAGTTATTACCGCGAGTTGTGAAACCAACATCTCTTTCCCCCATTGCCCTCTCGTGCTTCAAAATGGCGCACGCTACAGCAAAGCCCCAGGCATGCAAAGGCTGAACTAAGGCTCTTTATGATTGGTAGTCTCCTTCGCAGCCTACCCTTTTGTCGGGCTTCCTGTGAGGGACAGGAAGCCCGACAAAAGGGTAGGCTGCGAAGGAGACTATATGATTGGCTAATGAAAAACGCTTCTCACTGGCTGTTAACTTTGAAGCCATGTTCGGCTATCACTCGGTGTTTGTTCGACCAGGTTCGTATGACGTTACTTTGATTACTGGTTGCGATACGTTCAGTGCATATTTTTCAAAATTTCGAGTTTTGAGTAACCTCCTTCCTAGGCAACTATTTTTTCCTCCTTTTCGTGGCTTCCTTTGTAACGGTCATCTTTGCCCGCTATGGAATAGTGACGACGGAAAGGAAAAATAAGCCTCCCCTCTCTCGCCCTCATTCTCCCTCTTTTGACTCCCAAAAAATACAGGAGGCCCGTGATTCTAAGTGATGCCTRCGGAGGCATCACTTACGGTACGTTACATTGATTGAAAGGCAACAATATTCCTTCAAATTTACGTCAATTATCGTTTCGCATCTCCTCTCACGAATGATTTTGAGAAGCCAGCCGCAGGTGTAAGTAYACTTAAAGACAGTCGATAAATTTAGGTAAAGCATTCCATGCTTTAAAAGTCTTCTACCCTCTTTCCGCAGCCATATTGCCTTCGTCACAATTTCACGCAACCCTTAGAACTTCTTTGTTATTAACTGGCGATGAGAGGAAAACTGCCAAATAAACAATTGAGTTAAAAACGTTTATGACCGGGGAGGGGGGGCAGTTATTGTTATTTACCATTTTATTTCTTTTTATTTCATTTTATTATCCGCTGATATCAATAATAATCAATGATGATTACATTATAATTCAATATGTGGGTAGACAAAATATACAAAAAACTGAAATCCCTACAATAACGCAATAAGACAGATCTATGACATTTATATAAATACTGGCGATAAATAATTATACACTCATAATAGAGCTCTATACTATCTTACTGTGATACGGGGCCAGTAGGTCATCAAATCTTATCCATGTTTATATATAGACATAAGCGGGCTATCGATACATGAGAAACACTTAATGCAAGCGACAGTCTGCTGTTGAATTAATCAAGACCAACCGCTAACYAATCAACGTTCTTGACAACAAAGCAAGAGGTTTTAWGCGCTGATTCTCTTTCCACCGAGTGGACTTGGAAAGCGAGCACCAAGACCAGGTTTGTATTGACTCATGTTGAATGAAACCTCTAWTATTTTATTACCTTACATTTTGGAGTGACGGATGTCAATAGATAAATAATCCATTGCTTGCTACTCTTTCAAACATGATTCATATTGTCAGCTTCAAGATGGAGGCTGGCACCATATTATTAGTACATCACGCGATATTAAAAACACCTCATTCACACCATATCCAACAGACCTTGATCAAGTTATTGTTCACGAATTGAATACCGCTTAGCGATGTTTACTGTCTCTCTTTTGTTTAATTAACGTAGTTTTTATTGAAAGTACAGCTTAAGGTGAAATCAAGACTCCACGAGTTGGAAGTCTGGTCTAAATTACGGTTTTTGTGGGGAATATTGAAGGATGGGTTCGATCCCATGTGCCGTCAATCGACTACCTTTGCTTTCTTCTGCGTTCTTCAAATGTTAGAAAACGCCTCAGAGCGGAAGTACATGRGCAATCAATGACAATAATCTAATATACATCGTATATCACAACACAATACTCATCGCTATTATCTTACAATAAAATACAATAAAACTAGCGCTGAGTGATACGCCAAACAGTACACCAAACACAAAAACATTTCACTTGTAAACAACCAGAATACAACAAAACAATTAATCACAACATGTACACTTTCCAAGCAATAAACTACTATCGCGGTCAACGCACTCATGGTTCTTTTTTCCATGTTATCTTAGTTTTCAGGTTTGATTAGGTATTTATTTCATGATTTTCAAAGTATTATTTATRGTCACGCTCAAAAGCTTGCACAAGAAACTAATTCAAAACTGACAAACCCTTGACTAGCAATACTTGATCCAAGAGACAAGAACGATAAGCATGTAAACCATTTCATGACCTACTTCGAAATCTCCATTATTTCTCATCAAGTTAGTTGGATTATTGGCATGTCTCAGCGAAGGKCCTTTTGGGCTTTCAATCGCCGATTATCTATAAACGCTTTTCATCGCTACACTCGAATAACACTCTACAAAGGACCGTAACGCGATACCCCAAACAGCTACATGACAATGAATCCTTGAATTTTTATTGTATTTCGTTTTGAATGTACTTCCAGTAAACTATAACAACATTCTCAGTCAGCCATATATGCAATGATTTCTTTTAGCTAATCCTTGTTCAGTTAACCTGTACGCCCTACGATCTGAAATTATTTTTTTAATAGAAATATGGCGTTTATATTGGACAATTTGTCCTCAGATGACTGGACCGCTGCAGATGCAACAACAGATCCGTCCAGCCAAGGTAACACACACTAATACGCAGGGAATAATAAAAATAAGACTTTGTTCTGTTCAGATAAGAACAGTAGTTGATTCCGTCTATGTGAAATATAACACGATGACATGCGTTGGGGACTGCGCAATATTTATCAGGAGGGGAGGGGGGGGATTGAGGGGGGTGGGCAACATATAATTTTATGTGCTTAAAGAGGGGGGGGCAATGTCTAAAATTAACTAAAACTGTAATTGGAAACTGAAAAATTAACAGTATCAGATTCGAAAACTTCTCAAGAAAAAAACCCTCTATATCACGGGCTGTTATATATCAAGACACCTCTATATGACGGGCACTTCTATATCATATGCATGCACTACTATTTCAAGGGGACACCTCTATCACGAGCAACTCCATGTTCTAGGAACTTCTACACCACTGACGAACACCTCACAGACTTCTTTATATTACAGACACCTCTATATCACGGACACTTCTATATGACAGGCACCTCTATATCACTGGGAACCTCTATATAACGGTCACTCCTATATACACGTACGTCTACTTTCTTTGCTACTCTTACTATATAAACTCACACTTTACCTAGTTCTATCTCCGACGAAGGATTAACATCCGAAACTTCAGTAAGTTATTTCACCTATTTTTTACGGTGTTAAATTTATCTTTTTACACAACTATTTCTATATACGAACACTTGACTGTAGCCCATAAGGACCTAAGCATTTACATATACTCTTCATTGACAATTTAAAAGAAAATCTCCACATTGATCATAGTTAGTATCAAGCTGTTTGGTATTTGTTCCTAATCATACTGTCACACTGTGTTACCGCCGCGCATCTGGACCTTCGTCTCCGCAAGAACCCKGTGACGATCGTTTTTGTCGTTCTTTGCATATTGTTGAGTAGAACAACAAATAAAGGGAAGACTGAAACTAGGGGTTAACACTTGAAATAATTCAACTCCCGACAAATACGGCTTATCACTAGCGGATGGATTGCATTGACAACAGATCGGGCTAGTAACGAGGTATATTTTTTTTGCTGTTGATCCGAATCAAAAGGCTAAAACCCAAAACTCCGTACATTTTGATCCCTGATCCCCTTACAGAATCGTTGAAAAAAATCATGGATCCCGATCCCAGTTGAAAAACCTTTGATCCCAGGTTAAATCCATTTGATCCGGATCCTAAGCCTAAATCATGATCCCTGATCCCAAAATAGCCCCAAAATTGACACTGATCCCTGATCCCAAGACCTCGTTACTAGCCTGACAGATCTATAGTAAATAAGATTTGCTACAATACTCTCTCGCTCTTTGTTGTCCAGTTCTCCAAGGAAAGTTATYCTGTAGTGATGCCGTAACTGATATAGTGTTACTGAGTGCGACATAAAGGCGAAATTCTAGAGAAGAGATTMGAGTGATTTTTAGATGCTCAGACGAAATTATTAGAACCGACATGCACTCTTATTGACGTCGCTAATAGAGGGACCACCTGTTCACCCAGGGGCGATACATACGGCATTTATCAGACAAAATCCGTGACCCCTTCCCCTACGCTAGTTCGCCTACTAGTTGTGTACAGAATGCGAAGGCTTCATCTTATAATTTGAGCGATTAATGCCTTCTTCGCCACATGTATCACTGGAAAAAATCGCGCGCCGTGAACCCTGTAAATATGATGTGAATACAATGTAAATTCGATTTACGGGATATTTACAAAGATTTCACATCATATTTACAGGGTTCACGGCGCGCGATTTTTTCCAGTGTATGAGAATCCAGAACCGGTAAAAAAAACAGCTTGGAATCCGTATCTGTATCCTGGAATCAGGAATCCGGAATCCAAATTTTTGTAATCACTGAGAATTCCAGAATCCAGCAAAAATTTTGAAAAAAAAAAAACACATCCTTTGGGATCCGGAATCTCATGTCTTGGAATCCGGAATCCAATGTTTCGGAATCCGGAATCTAGCGCTTGGAATCCGGAATCCTTTAGTTCTCTGGATTCTCTTGCATGAGGCGAACATCCTCTCGGCTCTAAGAGCTTAAGGCAATAGCTAGCCTATTTGTCCGGAATGACTCATGGCCTGTATTTCAATATCATGTTATCATTAACTTTAGGTTACAAGGAATACCTAATTTGTCATCGAGTCCCCACAAACCCAGACAAGACAGATTACAAGTATTCAGCAAGCGAGGGAGACGACTCCAAACCAGTCGAGTTAATACTCCATGGCGCCAAAAAGCGCGATCCGTTACAAGGCGTTCAACGTCCTATGCTTAAAGTTGTAGACGGTGTGATTGTCGGTGTAGACGTCTGTGGTGAACGTTGTGAAAGGAAATAATGACAAAAAGCGCACAAAAATATTGCTTATTTGAAGCAATCGACGCTGTGTACATCAAAAATTGTAGAAATATATTGTCATTAAAATACTACTAATCAATTGCAAGGTTTCCATTATTACTATATATTATGTTGTTTTGTCAATCTTAAAGACTGATAATTTTTGTCGCTGCGTATATGGGAAATAATAATTGATTTATACTGCAAGATAGTCTGTGGTGAACATTGGCTCATTTAGTCCCCTTTTCCATGCAATSTGAATAGAATTTTGTATGTCAAACATCGTAACCATGATCCCTTTCGGTCATGCATTTCTCTCTTCAACAACCGCCATCCGCCGTTTTCACCGACGTTTTTTGAAATAGGCAATGTAGGTGTGTATTGGATACTTTGACATTGTCAAAATTTACAATTCTCACAAGTTACCAAAAGAAACCGGCTCTCAGGGACGTGGGAGTGGGAGAGCCCCCAAAGAATTCCACAACCACTGGCTGGTGAGTGCTACTAGGTAACTATGTGTACATGTAAGTAACGAGCACTAATGTTCAGAATGTAGTCTTCCGAAACATCGCATTCATGAAAATGACCGATCTCCTGCTTGTTTAACATGGTCAAATACTTCTCTCTTTACTAGATACGTCTTTGTACTCAGCCCCAGGAAAAGGAAAAATAAGAAGCTTTAAACCTGATCTTATTTCATACTAG